GTTTTTTAAAAATCATGATAAAAAATAAAGAATGGAAGGATTAGAGATCAGCAGTTGGCGTAATGGTTATATGGGTGGACTCCCATGTAGTCAACCGCGGTTCAAGTTCTGGATCCGCCAGGTACGTATGCGTGCGTGCGTGCCCAAGATCCCAAGAGGAGATTGGAGAAGGGATTGCGGCGTGACCATCCCCTGAGGGGTGATCTCTCTTTTTGTCTCTCTGTATCTTTCTGGAGAGTGCACACACCCTATAGCAAAAACCTCAAAAAAAAAAAAAAAAAGAAAGAAAAAGAAAAAGAATGGACAGATTCAAACCCATACGTTTCTGATGTTTTTGCAAAGCAAGAAAGCACTTTGGCAAGGTCAAAGTCAAACAACAAACGGCAAAAAAAAATTCGTAATTTATTTGACAGACCAAAGGTGATTTTTCCTAATAACTTAGTAAATTCTTGAACAAACCAGTAAGAAAGTGGGCGAAGGACATACAGAGGAAAACGTGTCTCAAACATGAAGAGAGGCTCATTCCATTCAAACTAAGGAAACCACAAGGTAAACCATCAGAGCTGCCATTTTTCGCCTTTCAGATTTACCAAGATCTGTGTCTGACAGCAGGATATTGACAAGGACATGGGGAAGCAGGCAGTGTCTCTCCACAGGGCACATGCCCACACCCTTGGGCTCAGACATCCCACTTCTGGGACTAGACCCTACCAAAAAGAACTCCAGCTGCAACAACAAAAAGCTGGAACTGATCTCGGTCCTGCGATGGGCACCACTTGAATAACTCGCTGTGGGGCCAGTGGGGCTTGCAGCTTAAGGTGCCAGGATCCCTCATGGCTGTCCCAGACCTGTGGCTTGAAAAACATGCTGGGCGCGCGTGCCTGTGTGCCCAGAAAGACTGGAGAAAGGAGAGCCCGGCCAACTCCCTGGGGGGTGACTGCTCACTGTCTCCGCCTCCCTCCAGCACTACAGCAAATCTAAATAGTTCACTGTATGAAATGGTGTATTAAGAGCCACCGTGTTCTGAGAAAACTGCTTTGTACTCTTAGGAAATGGTTCCGTCATACGTAATGTGCAGAACTGTAGTACGGAATTCCGCTGTCTGCTTTGGGTAAATCCACCTCCAGGACACTGAAGACGATGTTTGCCTCGGGAGGAGAACTGGGCAGGAGGGCAGCGAAGACACCGCTGTACGAGCCCTGTGCTTACGAGCAAGCGGAGCAGCGTTCCAGGTAACGGCAGCAGTGGGCCGCCCCGCTCCTTCCACGCCCGCGCTGCCCCGTGCGACGCCCACGCTCACGCCGCGGCTGC